TTTAAAAGAAAAAAAAAAAAAAAAAAAAAAAATCAAAAAAAAAAAAAAAAAAAAAAAAAAAAAAAAAAAAAAAAAAAAAAAAAAAAAAAAAAAAAAAAAAACACAAAAAACAAAAAAAAAACCAAAAAACAAAAACCACAAAAAAACAAAACAAAAAAAAAAAGGGTCCTTTTGACAGTAATAAAGAGAAACCAAAATACACCAACAGGATTTCAGAGTAACCATAAATTGCTATCATAAATATATGATGAGTTACCGGATAGCCATTTCGCCCTGGTGGACCCTGGTTGAATGAGATGAAATGGTATGACACATTAACAACACAGTCATGACATATGACATAACAAACATGCAGAGTACATTATCAGGAAATAATAATTTGTGAATTGCTTGACTTTTTTGGATGTGATGATATTTCAAACCAAGGAATATGAGTTAGGTACTACACAGTGAAGAAATGAGGCTTTAGCAATAGAAATTATGTGTTTCAACTTATATAAACACTCTGACTAAAAAGCTACTGGCTACTTCTGATGCCCAGTGAAATTCTGTTTTTTTATGAAGAAAATTATCATGTAAATTGACAGGCAATATATAGTTAATACAAAAAAAAAAGTTTAGTGCTTAGGTAATAAAGTATTAGATTCCACTAGAACATTAATGGCAAAAAAGAAATCTGAGACTGCTGTAAAAGATCATAAAAATATTCAAAATCCCCAGTCTCTCACTGCTATTACTGAGCGTGCCACTCAGTAGTCATGTACAAAGAAAATAAACAGAGCAACTGTGGCAGCCTTTGAAAGTACAACATACACCTAACTCTCCAGTTTAATGTGGGATATACAAATATTTGGTATTTTAAATGAAAACTATTACAACAGTCTCCCAGGTCAAAACAATACTTAGGTTCACAACGCTTGCCCCTAGCCAGTGTCTCTGCAAATAGACATTAATTTGTGTCTATGCAAATAGAAATTAATTAGGAAGAGAAACTACACTTTTTTATGCCTTGTAACAACCTAAACCATTGCTGCCTGTCAGCAAGATGAAGTTTTGTTGGTTTCAAGTATGAAACTTGGAATTTAAAGTCACTACTTCTTAAAATTATTCAGTTTTGGAACCTATTTCAGGTTTGCGCTAATATTGCCACGATTACAACTTATTTTTGGGGGATTGTTTGTTTGGGTTTTTTTAATGTACCTATAATGAAACAGTGAGGAGCTAAAGTCAGAGACATTCTTAATGAGGCATAAACTCTTGCCACATTGCTTTGGTATTGGAAAATAGCTTGTATCATTATTTATGTTTACTCTTTGTGTTTCACAGGAGGACTGCAAAAGAAATTGGAGAAAACTGTTTTTCTCAAATAAACAGCACCTTTATGCATTAAGCCTGGCTTTTCATTGATGGCTTGTTAAATGAATTTATCACTATGAACTGCTGAGCACATGGTCAAAGTCTTAAAATGGTAAGTAATATCGTGACTCAATATATGCAGTTTACAGTAAAATCTTTAGGTCACAGCAGGAATTCAACACATTAATTAAATATTCTTAAACATGCATGTAACACAGAATAGCCAGATGATAGGGTCTTGAAAATATTGTGGAAATATTTCACCTATTAAGGAAAAAAACATAGAAGGCTTCTAACTGTAAAAGAAATACTATTTTAACAGTCATGTTCCTACACCAGATGATGCACATGGATGGCATGACAGATACAAAGGTTTGAGACATATGTGCTTAGTCCTGTCCTTCAAGTCAGACTTTTGACCTACTCTGGGAATATACAAAAAAGCAAACAAAAGACATACAAAAAAACCCAAGCAAAAAACAAAACAACCTCAAAACCGCAGAAGAAAGAAAACATTTTCTCACAAGAAGAATTAGCACAAGATTCAACTGACTTACTAAATGGAATAGCACTATTTAATAATAATTTAACACGAGCACTTATTAGCTTCAGTAGCAATTACAGTGAAATGAGCTGAACAGTCTCTATGCCTCTAAAGAATAGGGAGCTCGTACCCCCACGACTCCGTGAAAAATGCAGAGGAAGTTACTACCCAGCAAAAGTGGCCAGGTCTGAGCTTAAGATAGAATACTCACACATTTTTTTATACTTCAGTAAAGTATCTGTTATGAAGTCACAGGCAAAATGAAGATAACATACTTACATGGAGTTGTGAATCCAAATGGCAATCTGGAGCGCTGAACATAAAGCTTTACTGGTTTAGAGACTCTTTTCTTAACGAACTTTCTGATTAAGTTATTCAGCTCCAAGATATTGTGTATGTATAAATACCAAAATTCCCTCTTGAGTATACATGATCATTTTATCACGCTGATAATTAACAGGATCTAACAGATTTCTGCCTGATTCTGGAAGAACCAACAATGTATCACTGTACTTACAGGAGGTCCTGTGGGGTGGGGGAGAGGGGAAAAAGGGTAAAAAAAGAGAAGAAAGAACACGTAAGCTTATGAAGTTACTGAAGAAAGACACACAGTAGTCAAGCACAAGGCCTTGGGATTGTCAGTGAGCAGCACTGGTAATACAGGGCACACCTTTTCCCACTTAAGTAATCTTGTGCTTTGGCAGTGCTCTGAAACTTGTGAATATGACTACTGCCTAAATTCATGCACTTACCTTAACAAATCTTCAATTACAGTCATGCAATCTTATGAAAGTTGCTTCTCCATTTATTTCCATGCAATTTCATGCCAGTCCAAAAACACCAGCCATGGATACAATTCATTTTGTCAGGCTCCACATAAAGCACATATAACCACACCACCAGTTTCACTTAACCACACAGTGAGCACCGGATCAGAGCTTGGCTGCAGAATTGCACAAAGTACCCTTGGCATTTAACCTGGGCATCTTTTCGAGAATACATGTACCAGCATCTTCCAGACTTCCAACTTTGCCTGTGAGGGGAGGTTTCAGTGGCCACCTGACAGTGCTGAACTTTATTTTCATCTCTTTCCTCTCTCAAGGCACACTTATAAAATGTTCCCTATTAAAATGTCACACTTCGTGAAGCGATATTTGCACATTTTTTCAATTATTTAGACCTCAAAGACTTTCGTGTAGCAGTTCTTGGAAACATTATCAAAGGGCCACAAATCAAATCTACTATTTCAGTCTTATTAAGGTGAGCAGCTGCAGCTCCCAAATCAATAGCATTTCATTAAGCTTTTATGCCTCTCTCTAATTTCTGAATAAAGCGAAGTGCAAAAGGAGTATAAAACAGCAGCAGCTGTACTTTGAGATTGCTTTTAATACTGACAGCCTTTTGGTTTTAACAATGCAACTTTTATTGTCCAGCAGCTAAGGTAATTTCTTTATTCTGGCAAACATTCTTAAACAGCATTTTAAGGTGCACGTCTGTTTTTAAATGAGAGATCCGTTTCTTTTATTAATGGTTTACCATGTGTTTATTTGAGATCTAAAATGAATCAATGAGCATCCCACAAAGTAATTTCCAGGATCATTTGTAACTCAATCTTCAACCACAGAATTTCCCTCTGTATCATAGCCTCTTTCTCTGAAGTAGATACCAAGACAGCACTGAATGGAAACACAAAGGTGATTTGTATCAACTTTTGGCAGGGCTTGGGTTTAGTTTTGTGATTCAGGAAGATATGGAAATAGTTTTTAAGAGCCAGATAAATTATCATTTACATAGATGAGAAAGGCTACAGAAGATTTACAGAGATCAAGTTGATTGGAAGACTTTCTTAGCTGGCAGATTAGACAAGACAGCCAAGGAGAATAGAAACGCTCATTTTCTACTGCATTGCCTTCAGAAAGTTCACCTTGATGAAAAACTCAATCCCACAAGGTAATTGATTCAATTCCTGTGAATGTCAACAGCAAGAGGTGCTCAGCATCTCAAAACTTTGCCTCAAATGCAATTTCAAGCCACACCAGCAGCAGGTTTCTATCAACAGCAACCTCCCTGGTATAGGGTAATGAACCAACAAATGTTTTTCTTATTTCTGTTAGAACTTAACTGCTCATTTCTATAAAATAACTTCTCTCACACAGAGTAGTCTACTTATCACATTACATCCCTGATTATCAACATTCTCCATACAAGGAATTTTATTTCCTTTGTTATTTCCTTATAAAATTGTTCTCCTCCAACCAAAGGGGCCTGATGTAACACTGACACAGTATTCCAACTACTGACTTACATGGAGTTATTCTAACTTGTGCATGTGTGAGAACACCCCTGAAGGCCTTGACAGTTACCGACCTGTTACCAAAGGCACCGCGTTGAGCATTATGAAGTGTGCCTGCAAATTAAGGGTGCCCAAGACTTGAGAAATATCTGGAAGGCCACCAGATACATGCCAAGGGTCACAACATTTCACCAGAGAAGTTTCAGATTTCTTTTATCAGAGCACACATGCATTACAACTAAAAAGCAAGGCATGCTGGGTATGCATCCTCACAAAAACAGACACCAAATGACAACAGATCTTATGAAATTAAACACTTACCAGTCTCTCCTCTTCTTCCCCGCTTACCTCTTTTCCCTGGAGGACCTAAAAAGAAGATGGTAGATAGTAACTTTTCCCCTTGAAATTACATGTAGAGTACAATTTGTTTGGATGTAAGGGCATTAGACTGATGCACTATATGAAGTTCAGAGACACTGGCTGAAGATAACCCAAATAAGGTTTAGGAAGTTTGTGATAAATTTGACAGCTATGGTACCCACTACAGGCTCCCTGAAAAAAGGCTGGGAGAAACTTTAAAAGTCATCCAGTTCATCCCTATTTTTCAAGGAAAAAGTTAACCACATCTAAATTTTTATTGCAACTTCCACGGGCTTTTCCCCCCACCAATATTTCACTGTTCTGACAAGTGGAACATTTTTCTTTATGTCCAACGCGCTGCACTGAATCCCATCAATTCTCATGCCTTCCACCACGAACCCCATAGAAGAAATTGTTCCTTTTCTTCTCTCAAAAATGTCTTCCTCAGAATTGCTGCACCCTTCCTTCAGTCATCCTAAACCAAATATATTGTGGGACATTAAGTTTTATGAAATTATTCCTGCATTAAGCCAAAATATTAGTATTTATTTGTAAGAGTAAATTCTCTAGAATTTGCTTTCAGCCTCTATCTGAAGATATGCAAGAGATGAAGAAATCATCGCTTGGCTTGCCATCCCCCAAACATTTAACAACAATGTACATGTTGCCAGACCCAGTGTATGGTGCTTTGCCTCCAGTTTATATCTGTTTATTTGCCAGACAAAACAATGGCTTAGTTGCTGCATGCTTTTTGCTGAGAAGTCTTTGTTTCTCATTGTCCTTTCTCCACAAATATTTACATAATATATCCAGCTTCTGCTGTCACCTCTGAAATAAAAAAAAAAAAGGAAAAATCCCTTCTGTCCTTCATTTCTGCCTTCAATATCTTTTTCCAAAAACTGCAGATCTCAGATGTCAGACTGCAGACTTTCCCTCCTCTACTTGGTAACCTTGACATACTGTTCCTGAAGGTGCCACAAAAGCACACTTGCACTTCTCCATGTACAGCTTGGAAGAGAAGCAGCAGCTGTAGGGGTGACACAAGTCCTGAAACTTGGCTGCTCTGAAAAGAGAACCACAGGTGGGACTCTGAAAGCTGCAGAAGAGAGGAGAGCACACGGGTGGAATTTCCAGAAGCAGCGACGCGTGCAGGAGCACAAGTACCTCTGCTGTGGCTGGATCTCACCGTTTGTAATGGATATGAGATGCACAGGTGGTTTTGTGCAAATGGCCTGCTACTTTAAACTTTACAAATCATGTGAAGCATCATGCCATAGCTTTTAAATAGCTTTGCGTTACATATTTGCAGCAATCTGGCTTAGAGACTAAGATGCTGAAAAGCAGCACTAGTGAAATGATTTCAAGACATGTATGAAACAACATTAGTTCTCCAGGTGAATAAAATACTATTGCTTTATAAAGGAAGAGGGGAGAAGAAAAGAGAAAGTTGAAGGGAGGATAAAAAGGAGGAGAAAGGAGGAAGAATACAGAAAAGTAGATCTTGTCTTGAATGCAGAGAGGTTTACTCCTATCGGAGCATTATAAATTTGAATAAAACCCTGGTCTATTCCAATAATTACAGTAGTGGCATGATGCAACAGAAGTTTAAGACAACAATATCATACAAGGCAAGAATGGCTTGGGATATTCAGAATCAGTAGCACAAATGAAAAATAGTAAAAGTGTCATTTAAGTATGGGAGAATCTTGCAACTTCCTCCTGCAAGGGATATCTAGAGAAACTTCTTCACAGGGAACAGAATGTTACAGACACAGTAAGTTTCTATAGTGCACCTCTTCTTCCTCCCCCCACAACACCAAAACTCCTTAGAGTCCCCCGCATGCGCACAGCCCTGCAGAGGCCCTCTGTGGAGATTTCCTGGGCTGTACCCAAGCTCACAACACAGATGTAGAGCAATTGGGACTCAACATGAACCTAGAATGTTCTTCTCCAGGTAATGACATTTCATTGTGCATACAGCAATAATATTCTCCAAAACAGGGTGGTGATATTTTCTTTTATTAAAATTTTATTGTGCTATAGGTGTGCACACACACAAACAAGTCTACTACCAGGTTTGCTTTTGAGAAAGGAACAGCACTTGGAAATTAAAAATTTTGGCTACACACCAGCAAAACATATTAAAGTCACTAAGAGAAAATCCTGAAGGTCACTTCATGCTATGAATTTTAGGAAGGAATTAAATCTGTCCAGAAAATCAGACTTTCATAGAGCACTATGTTGCTAGTTTACCTGGATACAGGGACAGCAAAAAGCAAGCTCCAGTTCAGCTCTTTCCTTTGTCATCAAATGCTGATCCCTTCTAAGATGTTATTCTAAGATTATTAGATTTAAATGTGTGAATCATCAGAAAAATTACCATTATTATTATTATGTTTCCAAAGTAACCACACTGCTGAGGGTAGGAAAATTACTCAGGACTTAGACCAATATTAATGAAACCATACCACTGCCCCTGACCATCAGACCAGCAGTATTTCAGGGCCACTGACTGACAGGTATCTCTTCTCTCTCTCATTGAAACTTTTTTGATTTGTGCACTATTCAAGTCTGTCAAGGTGGTGGCATTTGCAAAACTCTAATCAATTGTGAGATGAGAGATGGATCTTGCAAGCTTTTTTGATTTTGATGACCACTTGAGGAAATAATTTCTGTATATTCATCTATTTACTTAACTTTTACTAATAGAAGCCAATTCATTTTAAACTGTTTGCCACAGATGGTTTCAATTCACAGAAAACTAACTCTGAAATTTATGGTCATTGCTAGATGACCTTCTGCTTCAGAAAGTACACAAGCTTTCATGTTTTTCTGAACAGGCTGCTTTCTCTAAATCTCAACTGCTAACACATCATCTGTAGCTGCAACAGTTTCAAGCTATCAAAACCGTGGGCATTTTTCTATAAATACTAATTTTCCATCTGTCTATAATTTTATAACTTTGCACTAATTGGAGGATTTGGTGGAGACTCATCACAGCAGAAGGAGAAGTGAATAAAGCTGTATTACGGACAATGTCAGCATACATCAAGTCCACAGATTTTTACAGCTTGCACAAAACACTCAACATGACACAACTACTCTGAACTTTCCTGCCTGGGGTAAAAAAAAGTCTCTTCAACAGTATCAGAAATGTCTATGCTGAACTGAATTTATTACAGATGATTTTAAAGGTTTTTTGTTTTAAAATATATTTTCATATTAAAAATATAAATATTAGGAAGAAAAATTGGAGTTTGAATCTCAGTGGAGTGAGTTGGGTCAATAAACACTAATGATACAGAGCAATAAGCAAAAGCTTGTTTATAGTAGCCAATTTTGGCTAAACACTGTTTTTCCAGGATCACTACATTTACCTACCTATAGGGAGTAAGAATAAAAGGCCAGACCACCTGGTTTTCATTTTCAACCTAATTTAGTTGAATTATACATGAAATTATATTATAATACCTGAAAAGCTATCTGAAATTATTTTATTCTTCCAAAACCATTTCTGAAACTAATTGTTATCAACAGAAAATTTAGAAAGAATTTTTTTTTCCATTCAATTAAAAAAAAATAATGCCACTGCTATTCCATATTTATGAAGAGAATTTTGGAATTGAAAGAAACTAAAGCTAATTGAAACTAAAAGTCAATTATTTATCTAAATATATCTTCTCAAGCACAAAATGTCAGCCACTCAAAAAGTAGCTCTTACCTACTGTAAGAATTTGCCAAACAAACAAAAAAACACCACAAATTTAAAAACCCCTCCCATACTGCACAAAAGCACCCATACTCTTTAACTTTATATTTACAGCAAAAAATTCTATATTTTAGAAACAGCAGATAGAAGAAAAAAACAAACAAACAAAAAAACCCCACAAATTTAAAACCCCCTCCCATACTGCACAAAAGCACCCATACTCTTTAACTTTATATCTACAGCAAAAAATTCTATATTTTAGAAACAGCAGATAGAAAAAAAAAAAAAAACCACAAAAACACCACATTTGGTGGGTAAGACATAGAGTTCCTCCATGAGCACCTGCCAGGAACATCAAATGCTTGGCCATTTGGTCACCAGCTGATCTAGAATGTCAAGTTTCTCCTAATTTTGGAAAGAATTACAGTGGCATTATCAAATCAAAGGAAACATCTTTGGTTATAAGACTCTCCAGAAGCTTCTCATTGTCACTGCAAGTACGAGGAGCTACACCAAACCATGCACCAGCCTAAGAATAACACAGGAGTTCAGAACCCTGTTCCCTCTTTTACTGATGCCCAGCACATCACTCATATGTTGTTTCACACATACACCTAGCTACTGTTAAAGGTAACGAGTATTGCACACGCACATAAGAAAAAGAATATTTTCCTGGCTATTTCAAAGGACATCCCATTTCACATGAAGGTCATAGCAACACAAGATTTTTGCCTGTCAAGTCAGAAAAATGAATTAACACAACTACATTCTCAGAATAAATCCTGAGCAACTTTGCTGAAGGTAGTAGAATTACTTGAGTATTGTCAGGCATAAAACTGTCAGCCTTGCCAAAATCATCTGGATTAAAATATCCAGCAATCAGCCGAACTATACGAACCAAGCCATCCTTTCTGATTCAACTCTGACATTGGTAAAATAACTGCTATTGGTTGCATTTCAAGCTCCATCACTCCAAGCTGTAAATGGATCCAACTCTTTCCTTTCAGCTTCCAAAGGACAACCCAGCTGTCATCATTTTATCCCACTTCACATTTCTGCCTGTCAAACTGACTCAGGAAGGAGTAGGCACTGAAGGGAGCCAACCCCCCACTGCTCACAGGGAGAGGAGAGGAGAGCCTCTCCAGAAAACTGGCACCTCTGCCCCAGAGCTGAGGGACCATCAGCTCTGCAGGTAGGCAACAGAGCAGAACGGCAGCTCCTGAGCCTGACACCTCCTCCTGTGAAATACACATGCCACGAGCAGTGTGATGGCTCCAGGTGATGTGAGTGCTCCATC